TGCTCTTAACCGCGGAATAAGGAAAGTACTTGGCTCTCTCCGAACAAAAGTAAAGCTTTGTGCTCGGTGCACGCTCCCACTCGTGCGCCTGAAGTCCATGGGCTGTGTTTCTGCAGTTGCCTTCTCTGTGCTCTCTCCGTTACCTCTGGTTAATTGAGTCGCCTGTGGGATGTAGCACCAGGGTGTGCTCGGCTGCTTTGTGGGAAAAGCATTATTTCGAGTTTGATCCTTTTGGTGGGGGTGGGGAGAAGATGAAGAAATCTGCAGTCATAAAGCGGGCAGACGGCAGCTCCCGTCGTTACAGTCTGTAGAATACGTATTTATCTACCTTGCACAGCCTAACAAATTGGTGTTGCAATCATTACAGTAAATATGAGATATGGAAACAGTTTTAACTTCCCTTTTGCTTGCTGTCGTCTCTTTTTTTTTCCTTTTTTATTGAGCAGCAGTAATTTAATAGCATTGTTTGACTCCTGTTCATTTTTTTTTGTCTTGCATTGTATTGAGTTTCTGTTGAACATTTAAGTACAGTACTACAATTTTATGCCTAATGGGAAAAGCCATAATTATTTCATTAATACCAGGGTAGAATTTGTCCATACTAAACAAGAAATCAGAAAGCACTGAGTGTGTCAAGTAAAATAGAGTTTCTTGGGTTTTTTTGCTTACGTGGAACAAAAGGCGGTCTCTTGTACCTGTACTCATAGGCTTAGACTTGCATCCTCATCTCGCTGTTGTCCCATTCCACAATAATGCTGATCATGTGTAATCGTGCGTGGGATCGGGGCCTGGCTTAGATGGGAACATATTTCAGTATCTGGGTCGTGCCGTTGCATTTTGTCTTTCTAAATATGTATTGAAATTAGCTGTTGGCCATTCAAATAGAATCTTTACTAGAGTACAGTCGGAGGGTGATGTTCAAAGGCACCGAGGGTCAGCAAGGCATCTAGTCCTCTGCTCCTCCAAGGCAGGAGGGGGCTGGCTGCCCATTGTATCTTCATAGTTATCAATTCCCATTTTATCTGAAAACTTGATTTCATGTTCATGTTTGTAAAGTAAGTGTGAAATAATTTGTATTCAGAGTAAACAGGCTTCAGTAATGCATGTTCAGAGAAGTCCATCTTAGGATAGGGGAGGTCACTGAAGCCAGATACAGAGCTGGGATCACAAACTGGTCCTCTGCTCTGCTGAATCATAGAATGGTTTGGGTTGGAAGGGACCTGAAAGATCATCTAGTTCCAACCCCCTGCCATGGGCAGGGACACCTTCCACTAGGTCAGGTTGCTCAAAGCCTCATCCAACCTGGCCTTGAGCACCTCCAGGGATGGGGCAGCCACAACACCTCTGAGCAACCTGTGCCAGTGCCTCACCACCCTCAGAGTGAAGAATTTCTTCCTTAGATCTAATTGAAATCTCCCCTCTTTCAGTTTAAAGCCATTGCCCCTTGTCCTGGCACTGTATCACCTTGTCAAAAGCCCCCCTCCAGCTTTCTTGTAGCCCCTTTAGGTACTGGAAGGCTGCTAGAAGGTCTCCCCAGAGCCTTCTCTTCTCCAGACTGAACAACCCTAACTTTCTCAGCCTGTCTCCATAGGAGAGGTGCTCCAGCCCTCGGATCATCTTCCTGGCCCTCCTCTGGACCCGCTCCAACAGCTCCATGTCCTTCTTGTGCAGACCAGGACACGGCTGGCTTTCTGGGCTGCCAGTGCACATTGCCGGCTCATGTTTCCTCTAATGAATCCTCTGCTTTTCAGTTGGAAAAAGGAAAGTACAATCCAGTAGAATTTTTAAAGCACTTTCGGCTCCCAGAGCAAGCAGCTACTGAAGAACAGAAGACCACTGGAAAATGAACACGACCCCTTCGGAAAGAACAGAAATGAAAGACAAAACTAGGGGGGCACAGCTTGAAGCAAACAACAGTGAAATAGAGTGGGGTTTGGGGATAAATATTCATTACCATGTTAATGCGTACGATGCTGTGAAGGTATTTTGTGGAGTTAAACTCTGGAAGCAGGAGTTGAACCACCAGATCGCAGCGGTCAGACGTGCCGATGTGTGTGATACGCTGCTGATGGGTTCGGAAGGGGAAAAAGATCGAAAAACCTCAATCTTGTTGTTTAGCATGAGCCGCTCCTTCGTTATTGAATTTAGGGAGAAATATAAGCCTTGTGCAGTGCTTGACTTTTTAATAGCTGGGTTTTATTAAGTAAATGTGGGTTTTGCGATGACTGGAGTTTCGGTGGTTGCCAACGCTGATTTTAGCTTTGCTTGCGCGCTGGAAGCTTGCCAAACGCAGAAACATGGTTCATGCCCTGAAGCTTGTACGATCTGAGGAGGACGTTGCTGGGGGAAGAGGGAGGGTGTAACACGCTGTGTAACATTTGTTTTCTCTTCTTCCTTCCCTCGCTGCAGACCGTACCGAAGCCGATAGCGCTGGAGCCCTGCTTTGGGAACAAAGCGGCCGTTCTCTCTGTGTTCGTGAGGTTGCCTCGAGGACTTGGGGGTATACCACCACCAGGACAGTCAGGTGAGGAACATCTTCTCCACTGGCTCAGTATTAACTCAGTGCGCCTTCCCCAATCTGACAGATTCACCTTAAAGTTTCAGACTTGATCCCATAGTAATTGCTGTATCCCCACCGCAGCCGAGGATGTGCTCGGGTTATTTTAAGCTCGCTCGGGCTCTGCTGGCTTCTAACCTGAGGTTTGATTCAATTTCTTGGGTCAGTTGATGGATGAACATTTGATATTTGGATTACACTTTAATTTATGGCTGAGGAAAAAGGAGGATCTGGTGCAGCAGATTTGCAGTAGTTACTTATGAAAGTAACTTGGCTCCCAGCCCATTCCCTCCATTCCCAGCTCCATTTGTAGAGAGGCATCAAGTCCTTTCAAAGCATCCTTGCCCTCCTCTTAGCAGATCTGGATAGAGAGGTTTTCTCCATCCAGCTTAAGGTTTCCTTGTTCCCCGCCCCCTCTCACTCAGATCTGATGTCAGGGCACTGAGACGTCATCGTCACCTGGGCAGTTTGTGATTTAAGAGGAGTTTCTCCAGTGCCCAGTGAGCACGGTGAAGCAGAGGATCTTAAAAGGGTATTATTAGCTGGATTTGAGATGGGATGATTTGGTTGTGAGCTACATTGAGCTAAATCCCAGATGGCCAACGGCAGTTTGTCTGTGGATCTGCTGGGAGGAGGTTACAGAGATGATGGGTGTCCGGGAAGTGCAGTGAAACCTCCGTGGACAGATGTTTTCAGCATTTATTCCAGTATATCTACCGGTGCAGAGAAAGACACCTCCCTTCAATATTATGGGTTTCACATCCATTAATACCTACACTTCTTCTTGCCAGCTGCTTCTACTGCAGTTGCTTCCAGTAAAACATGCAGTATTTAAAAGCTTATTTCAGAATAGCTGCTAGAGTTTAATCTCTTAAGCCAAAATGCTTTTCTAGTTTGCTTTTTTTAAGAAGAACTCAAAAAACGGTATTCGTTTTGTGGCTTGGAGGGTTTTTCTCAGCTGTGGCGGAAGGATTTGTTTCTGTGACTGTTCTGTTTTGTCGCCCCAGGTCTCGCGGTGGCCAGCGCGCTGGTGGACATTTCACAACAGATGCCCATTGCCTACAAAGAGAAATCGGGTGCAATACGAAATCGGAAACAGCAGCCCCCTGCACAGCCAGGAACCTGTATTTGATGCATGGACATCAGAAACTGTATAGGGTTTTAAACAAAATGGAAAAGTAATACCTAGGAGGAGGAGGAGGAGGAGGAACATTTCCCAAGTTGTGTCGCAGAGACTCGAAGCGCTCAGAAAAACACAACTTCCTTGAACCCGACTTTTTCTCTCATCTACGTGATAGTTGGCTTTATTTGACAACTGCTCCACTTAAGTTTTACTGACACGTGGCTTCAGATTGCTCCTTTGTTTTCTTCAAGTTTAAAGTAAAATAATTTTATTGCAGGTCCAGTAACATCCGATCGCCGCCGTTCATGGTCAGTGTAAATAGAACAGTAGTCCGAGGTGAATGACACTCAGGTTTATACATGGAAAGTGCTTTGTAGTTCATGTATTTATCAAACTGTGCAAAAAGAAAGAGATGCAGTGTTTACAGGTGTCAGCTCTCAACACATAAACACTACTATTAATCTTCAAAGCATCTTCATCCTTTGTTTTCTTTTAATATTATACGTTTATTCCCTCATTATTTAAATGGAGCTCTCTTCCAGATCCAGCGTTTTTGTAGTCATCGTGGTCCGGAACATCAGGAACGCAAAAGCTGGGATGGTTTAAAGGTTGATGTCGCGTGTTGCTCAGACCACATGCAATACCTGGAGAAGTCAAATGTTGCTCTTGAAGGACTCGGTGTTTACGTAGTCTTAACCTGCTTGGAGTACGCCACACACAAGTGCCTAGACTTGAACAGATCTAGGGAGTGAGGAGACTGGTACACACATTTGTTTTTCACATAATTATATTCCTTTTAAATATATATATATATATGCACACACATAAGTGTAGTCACCCAAGGCAATCTGCGTTCTTTGTAATATATCACATGCAGTCAGGAGAAGATGGCATTTTCCTGACCAACTACTCAACCAGATGGGAATATCTGGAGGGAAAGTAGAGTTTCAGTATCTCATAAGAAAACTCCTGGTTTCACCAGCGCTTTTAATAGAAGCACTTTCTGTTCCAGGTCAGATACATGATATTTCTTCTGATTTTCTCTGCCCGTTTGGCCTCTTCCCCCCCCCCTTCCCTCCTGCCATTCTTCTGGACGAGATCTGAGCTGTGCCAGAGCTCAGAGGCATCGCTCCTCAGCAGTAGGATTTGCTCCGTCTTCTTAGAGGGTGTCAAAAGCAACACTCCAGGTGCCAGATCATTTGAGGATGATATAAAAAAAAGAACTTGAAATAAAAAAGCAAGCAGACCAGCTTCGTTTGGCCACAGATTTGAGTTCTACGTGATCCGTTACTGATATTTCCCATTGGGGTTGAACTCTCTTAGATGTTGAAGAAGGTGACTTGTTGGTGAAAGGAAGGGACTTGCAAACAGCAAAGAGAAGGCTCGGCTTTTGGGAGGTGTATCAAACCATCTGAAGTACTCTGACTAGTTGGGATTGTGTTTTGAGGTTCAAGGTTGGACTTACCCCATCAGTCTGTGCGTGCCGATACCTGATGTCTCCCTTGGTTCTGGAATGTGGCGCGGTGCCGGGGCCACGCGAAGCCATGATGTTGAAACTGGTAGGAAGATGTTACGTGAAGGTGCCAAACGAGGCGTGTAATTGTTGCCTAATCACAGTAAGTGCAGTTTCATTCGGGTCGCTGAGTTGCTGGTTTCTGGTGAGGACATCTGGTATTTATCAACTGGAGAAGTACCAAATTGAGGGGAGTGAAGGAAAGTGCTCTTGAATCTTCTGGTGAGACAGCACCCTTTCCCAAGTAACTGCATCCTCTTTTTTTTTTTTTTTGTGCACGTTTTGGTGATCGATCACATATCAGCCACTCATTTTAGGTTTGGTGGAGTTTTCTCAACCATGTCTTTTGAAGAAGCTCTTCGGAGCACGGTGGCATCGCAATAAAGACATGAATTGCTCTGTGTGTCCAGACAACAGTGATGGGGGACAGCCTGCTGGTTTAGAGACAGTGGTGGGTTGTAATTCTGATTTAGTGTGTCATTTAACAAATACAACAAGACTGCAGAAAAAAATACTGTGGAAAAAATGCATTTTTAATATATATATACACCCCCCCACATATGTGCGCATGTATGTGTGTATATATATGTATAATGCATCTGTTTCTAAACTAGAAGTTTAAATGCCCTCTGGGGAAAAGAAATGATGGGAGGGAAAGGGGTGAGCTATGTCTTTTAGAATGAAGGGGTTTAGGCAATTTAAGTTTTAACTGATAAACAGATTACCTCAGACAGATTCATCTCCTGAAGATATTTTCTAACTTCCTGTGTGTATAGGGCTAACCCGAACTAGAGAAATTGTACTGGACTAAAATCCCTTCCCTGTTATTACTCTACGTGTTTCCAGCTGTGATGCACATCCTCATGTTCAGAGATGTCTTCTCGCTTCCCCGACACTTTTTTGGGGAGGAAAACTGCCAACCTGAGTTGAGAAAGCTCTTGTGCTTCAGTCTCCGTATTCAGGACAGCGCTTAAGCAGGTGCTCAAAGTTGTTGCTTAGGTTTTCCTGGACAGAAACAGCTTTCAGAACAATAGGCCTGGAGGGGTGGGATGTTTTTACATTAACAAAAAGACGTCGATGGTTGTATTTTTTTCTCCCCTGGAGAGCTGAGTTGTCTGATCTCAAAAGCTGAAGTGTGCCCAGAAGTGTAGCCGCAAAGTTAAGTGTCGGGTATTGGAAAGATGAGCAAAAATGATCGAACTTTTGAGGTTTAGCAGAAGCAGAAAAAAAAAATGTAAATAGAGGAATGAGACTGATTTCTATAAATAAAATGAAACAGCTCCTTTAGGATGTAGCTCTGCTCTGCATCTTATCTCCATACTGATGAGGGAAAAAGAGAACTCTCATACATATCTCTGCTGCAAACAGTTTCATCCCAACTTAAAGGTAAAATAGAGACGAAAGTGGGAATGGATGGAGGGGGGAAGAAGAATTGCCAGTGGTTTATCACCAGGCCAATATCAAAAGTGAAGGATTTGTGGGTTTATTTGTTTTGGAGTTGGGGGGTGGGGAAGAGCACCCTTATTTCATGGGAGAATCTGTAAATAAATGAAAAATAACACACTGATTTTGCACTTGTACATAAACTATACAGTAGCGTGCAGAACATGGAAAGATTTAAAGTGTATATAAACCACAAAAATATTGAATGTATTTTTGATGCATTTTAAATGATGTATGAGTTTTGTCTTAATAACTTCTTCATATGATGAGTATTCAATAACTTTCCAGAGCTTTAAAGAAACATCAAATTATATTCGTGATATCTTGCAGTATAAAGCAGGGAGGCATAACTTGACTTTTATGTATTCAAATGCATTTCACTTAAATGTATAAGCAGAGTAAAATACGGCTCTTCCATTTGAAAGGGGAAAAAAAACAACGCTTGAAGACAGGTAATAAATGTACTTAAAGTAGTCATTACTTGGAGGATTAAGTCAGCAGTTTAAGCCTCTACCATTAAGATTGTGCCGGTGATTTCCATTCAAAATCACTATTTTCCGGCGTTTGGCTGAAATTCAGCATTCAAGGTCTCAACCCCCAGAACGTTTTTATTCTTTCAGAGTAGCCTTTAAAAAAAATTAATACCAAATCAGAAATGTTGGAGCCCTTTTATTCCAGAAAGCAACAGTGCCATTGGATCTCCAGATAATGCACATTTTTTTGTTCACCGTTTTCCTTTCTTTTTAGCCCAGAATTTTCTCTGGACTGTTGTAGCACGAGTGACAGGAGACCATGCCACGAGATGGGTCAGTATGTTGAATACAAGAAGATTTATGGCACACAGTTTTGGAGTTATTGCCACTCTCCCTGGGCTTAAAACGCGCTGTATTGAAATTGCCGAAATAAAGCTGGACATGGTGAGGTAATGCCTGTGATTAGCATAAAGTCATGGCGTATCATTTAGCAAACTTTGATGGTACGGCACCGTAAAAGCGTGACGGTCCCTGTTGACAGATTCCTTAGGGGTAGGTTGTGTACTAAATATTGCTCAGAAACAACCTTTTCTCTGCAGTGGACTTTGACCAGAGTACGTAGTCGGTGGGTTTATCGCGTGGTTTTAAGGTGGCAGTTCAGTTAGCTTGGCCCCAGATTAGCTGAGATGAGCTTCTGATGGAATACCCTCAACTCAAGAGGCTGAAAGCAAACTTCAGGCTTTTCCTGTACCCTGCTGTAAGTCCAGCACCACCAAGATGAGGCTCGTTCTCCATCCTTGACTGCTCCAGATGTTAGCAGCTGCTTTTTCTTTTCCACGAGACCCCGACTTAGGGACGGAGCATCAGCTGCATGTCTCAACCTGTAAAAACCCTTTTCCATGTGAACCAGGATTTGCCAGCAATGAGCTTGTGGCAAAGCAAAGAACAGACCCAACATGCCGGGAGTGACTCTTAAACTCATCCATCCAACTCACAGTAAGCTGCGGGCATCTCTTCTTTCCCCCTTTTCTTTTTATCTTCAGTTGGGAATACTCCTGGGGAAGGGGAAGGGGGGTTGGGTTTTCGGAGCAAAGTCTCAAGAGCCTGTTGGGAGAGGGAGTTGCGCGTGTTGGAAATGAGAAGGTGCCACTGGACAATGGACACAGGAGCGTTTGGGGACGCGGGAGCAATGGGAAGGGAGGGGTTAGGTGTGCGGTACTCATTTTCGGATGCGTTGTTGGCAATTGTAGGCAAATTCATGCTGCTTTTCTGTTGATAGCTGCTTAAATTAGATGAGTTTCCCGTGCTAGGAATACTACAATAATGTGTATATTCTAAGTTTTTTTTCTGCTTCTGCATCAGGGCAGGTTTTGTTGAGTTTATTACTTTGTTCTGACACTACACATGGGCTATTTTTGTGCGTCTTCCAGGTACTATAGTTCTTTAGGCATTTCCTCTGCATTTATCGTTGACTCCACAAACCTCACCAGAAGAAAGAAGGAAAAAAAAAAAAATACTTGTGGAGGAGTGTAACATCTGTCAGTCCATTATTATTTTTTTTAAAAAAAAGGCAAAAAGAAAATAAAAATAGAGTTTTATATTACTCTGAAATTTGTGCACAATAAATGTTCTTTACACTAGGATCCTTGAATTAATTGTATTCTGGGTTTTTTTTTCTTTGTTCTGTAATTATTTACGATTCTTATCTGTGTTCAGACTTGGGCTTAGTTTGTTAATATGTATAATTTAGCATTTCTTGCATTCATATGTAAATACGAGCAAGTATTGTAAACTATTTCATTGCTGGGGATTGTGGGTGTTATACATACACACATTTAGGACTGCAGTTTTTGGTATAATTTTTTGTATTGTAAAATAACAGCTAATTTAAAGCAGGAACGAGAAAATTATTGGGAGGTCTGTGCATTTTAAATACAAATGTGAAGTACATGTATATAAATAAAAGTAAATAATGCAAATCTTTCCTCTGAAATAAAAAGTAGATGATCTGGTTAAAATTTCTTTCCCCTGCTTTTTCTT